GTTCAGCTCCTTAGGCCATCACTATGTAGACCAGGCTGGCCTTGAACTCACAGAGATCCGCCTGCCTCTGCCTCCCAAGTGCTGTGACTACAGGCGTGCGCCACCATGCCCGGCTTTTTTGTCTTTTTGAGACAGGGTCTCCCTGTAGTCCCAGCTGACCTGAACTCACTATGTAGACCAGGCTGGCCTTGAACTCACAGAGCTCCGCCTGCCTCTGCCTCCCAAGTGCTGGGATTAAAGGCATGTGCCACCACGCCCAGCATCTTCTCTGTGTTTTGAGTTCATCGTATATTCTGGATGTTAACCTCTGTCAGATGTGTTGCTGGTGAAGATTTTCTCCCATTCTATGGGTTTTCTGTTCGCTTCCCTGGTTGCCTCCTTTAATGTACAGAAGCTTTTTAGTTTAATGAGGTCCCGTTTGTTGATTCTTGACCTTGTTTCCTGAGCAACTGATATCCGGTTTAGAAACTCCTTTCCTACACCTACATCTTGTAGGTTGTTGTCAATGTTTTCTTGTAACAGTTTCAGAGTTTCAGGCTTTACATTGAGGTCTTTAATCCATTTTGGAATTGACTTTTGTGCAAGGTGAAAGATAGGGGTTTAGTTTCATTCTTCTACAGGTGGAGATCCAGTTTTGCCAGCACCATTTGCTGAACATGCTGTCTTTCCTACAGTGAGTGTTCTTGGCCCCTTTGTCTAATACGAGGTGGCTGAAATTGCATGTACTCATATCTGGGTCTTCAATTTTGTTCCGTTGATCTATGGGTCTATTTTTGTGCCAGTACCATGTTGTTTTTATGACTATAGCTCAGTAATACAGCTTAAAATCTGGTATAGTAATCCCCCCCCAGCATTGCTCTTCGTGCTCAGGGTTGTTTTGGCTATCTGAGGCCTTTGTGCTCCTATATGAATCTTAGGATGCTTTTTTCTAACTCTGCGAAGAATGTCATGGGGATTTTGATTGGCATTGCATTGAATCTCTAAATGGCTTTTGGTAGGATGGTCATTTTCACCATATTAATTCTTCCAATCCATGAGCATGGGAGGTTCTTCCATCTTCTAATGTCTTCCTCATTCTCTTTCTTTAAAGATTTAAAATTTTCAGGGCTGGAGAGACAGCTCAGCGGTTAAGAGCACTGACTGCTCTTGTAGAGGACCCGGGTTCGATTCCCAGCACCCACATGGCGGCTACAAACTGTCCCCAGGGGAATCCGACGCCCTCTTCTGACCTCCACGGCATTTCACAACACGGGTGTACTCACATACATGCAGGCAATACACTCATACACATAAAATATGAAAATAATAAATAAAATATTTAAAATTTTCATTGTAGAGGTTTTTAATGTCTTTGGTCAGGTTATTCCGAGATTTTTTTTTTGCAGCTATTGTGAAGGGGAGTGTTTCCATGCAGTCTTTATCTGATTGTTTGTTATTGGTGTATAGAAAGGCTGCAGACTTTTATAGATTAATTTTGTAACCTGCCACTTTACTGAATGTGTTAATAATTTCTAGTTTTCTGCTGGAATTTTTGGTGTCTCTAAGGTATATC